TCAAACCCATCGCTACCGGACGCTAACACCGCTGCACCTACCTCAAAAATCACAACAAAACATGACGCAAAATCACCACAAAAACCATCGATCTTTGTGTATCAGGTAAAACCACAATCTGTGACAGGCAAAATCACTACGAAAATAGCTGGAGTGCCGCTGCCCATAGATGCACAACGCGGAGCTACTCATTGCTATGCATTCGTGCATAGAGGAGTCGCACTGCGCGACGCTACGCAAAGCGGTGGCTGCTTTTTCGATACCGTGCCTTAACACCGGAGGTGCCTTCTCGCAGGATATGGTGTGTTTCCGGAAAAACGAGAGGGGCTGTGCAACTCTACCGTTCACGGCGTCAGATGCTACGGTTCACAGTTTTTATGTCAACACTAGTGTCAGCTGCTGTAAGTGCTGCTTGGCCATGATCTTCCAGTGGCAGTCTTCCGATGACGGTAAGAATAGAGAGAGGAGGGAAAAAGGTCTTTCGGCTCCGATAGGTTGCCCATCGTGTGAGATATTGGGTGAAGAGGAAGAGAGAGAGAAAATGGTAGGGTTTGGGTTGAATTTGGTAGGTTGGATAAAATTGGGTGGGCGAATATTTTATATAACATTAATATTAATAGTTGAATTACTAACTGATTTACGAATAAGTAAATTTTAGGAAAAATTGTAACAGCGGTACCAAACATTTCATTAAGTAGAAGACTTTTCTCAAATCTTTCATTTGTGTCATTCACGGTATCAAATCTTTCAAAATGTCGCAGTTGAAATCCAAATAGATAGTTTCTGTTAGTTTGACCATTAGTTGACCAAATAATTGACCTTGATAATAATTTTGACTAATTTCAAAATGTTAAAATGGTAACTTTACATTTTTTTTATAATAAAATAACAAAAATCAAATAATTAAAATTAAAAACTCATTTCCACCTTCTTCTTCTCCATCCACCCGCCCCGCCCAGCCCAGCCCAAATCTGCAAATCCAAATCTGGGAAATCAAAAGTGAAAATTTCATATTTAGAGTGTATTCTTTACCACAATTCAAA